TCTATCATTTCTTCCTTTGAAATAGTAAAGTATTCTATTACATGCTGCTCACCATTGCAGTAAAACGTTATTTTAAAAAAAGATACATGGTAAAAAATAAGCTTTATTAGAAATAAAACACAACACTCTCTACTACACTCAACAGTTTTTTCTTAAAGTAAAACAAATTCATGCGCATCATTCCTTCATGTCTGACAGAAAACCTCTTTAACAGTATATGTAACAAAATCTCTTACAGTACTAAGAGCTCTACTCCACTAAGAGAGATGCAGGGGTTGAATTAGTAAATTCAACTAGACTGTTCACTTTTCCCTAGAGCTTAATGAATGAGGTCAAGCATTGCTGATATCCATCATCCAATCATGTGCAAGCAAACATACAGTTTTTTTTCCTTTACACTAATTGGGTATTCTTTGCACATTTACTAAACTCTGGGGAAAATTCCCTTAGAATATACATCTACCCTTACAAAGTGAACAGTATATTTGCCTTTAGTAAATCAATCCTACCAATAGGACTTTAGGGCTATATGGGGTTCAATTTGCAAGGGAATTTTAATTTTTTTCTGTTAGCTTAGTGAAGCTCAGCTGGCTAATTAAGTGCAAGCAAAATACTATTTATTTTTGCCTTGAATGAATTTTGAGTGAATTTCACTGCTTTAATTAAACTATTGTAAAAAAAGCTTGCAAAGTGAAATTTCATTTGCAAAGTAATAAACATAGTATATATCAATATATATACTTTGCAAGGCATTATGAATATATATTTATCGACTGTATATATATATATATAGTCAGTTGTGTTCAAAATAACAGCAGTCAGACATCACTAACCAGATCAGTCACTGTTTTTGGTATGAATTGTATTTTTACATGGCAAATAATTTACTAATAGGTGTAGTAGAGTAATAGAAAACCAACAGACCCAACATTCATGGCATGGATGCTGCTGATTCTGTGTAACTGAGTCATTAATTGAAAGGGGCATGTTCAAAATAATAGCGGTGTGGAGTTCAGTTAGTCAGGCTGTGAAAAAACAGGTGGCCCTTATTTAAGGACGAAGATAGAAAATGTTGTACATGCTGGATATAGAGCATTTCTCTTTGAAAATCTGTGAGTAAAATGTGTCCTTCCAGACATTGTTCAGAAGAACTGCGTACTTTCATTAAAAAGTTGATTGGAAAGGGGAAAAACATATAAAGAAGTGCATAAACTGATAGGCTACTCAGCTAAAATTTTCTCAAACGCTTGAAAATTGCAACCAAAACCAGAAAGACATGGAAGAAAAAGGAAAACTACCATTCGAATGGATCGAAGACTAACCAAAATGGCAAAGACTCAGCCAGTGATCGGCTGTAGGGTGATCAAAGATGGTCTAAAGTTGCCTGTGTGTATTGTAACAATTAGAAGACGCCTATGTGAAGCCAAGCTATCGGCAAGAAGTTCCCTCAAAGTTCCATTGTTGAAAGAAACAACATGTGTTGAAAAGGTTACAATGTGCCAAAGAACACATCGACTGGCTTAAAGAGAAATGGCACAACATGTTGTGAACTGATGAAAGCAAGATTGTTCTTTTTGGGTCTAGGGACCTCAGACAGTTTGTCAGACGACCCCCAAACACTGAATTCAAGCCAGAGTACCCTGTGAAGACAGTGAAGCGTGGTGGTGCAAGCATCATGATATGGGGATGTTTCTCATACTATGGTGTTGGGCCTATTTATCACATACCAGGGATCATGGATCAATTTGAATGCATCAAAATGCTTGAAGAGGTCATGCTACCTTATGCCAAAGAGGAAATGCCCTTGAAATGGGTACTTCAACAAGACAACGATCCCAAATAAGCCAGTAAGCAAGCAGCATCTTGGTTGCAAACCAACAAGATTAACATTATAAAGTGGCCAGCCCAATCCCAAACCTTAATCTAATAGAAAACTTGTGGGGTGACATAAAAATTTCTGTTACTGAGGTAAAACCAAGAAATGCAGAGGAATTGTGGAATGTAGTGCAATCATCCTTGGCTGGAATACCTGTTCACAGGTGCCAGATGTTGGTCAACTCCAAATAACACAGATGTAAAGCAGCAGTTCATAGAAACAGTGGTTATGCACCTAAATATTAGTTCAGTGATTCACAGCTAAATCTTCAAGCATTTTTCAGTTTATACAGTAAATGTTTGAGTTTGTAAAGAAAATCCAGATACTGTTATTTTTTTGAACAGCCTAATATTCATTTTTCTTCACTTTATGAAAAGTGATAACAAATTTGAAACATTTTTCTTCATGTTTTGATTTGGAATAGACTGTACAACGTTTCCAATGCATTTGCGTGTATGGAATTAAAAGCAATTATAAGGATTTTGAGCTTTACTCACCTTTTTAAACACACTGCCATTATTTTGAACACAACTATATATATATAGATATATATATATATATCTATATATATATATAGATAGATATATATATTTATGCTGCCATTCCATACTTAATTAATTCAAAGTAACTATTGTGGTCACAATGTGTTCTTTGGAACCACACTAATCTGGAATCTTTCTTGTAGCCAAACAATGGGAATCTTCTAGAATCCCTTGATACAGTCATGAGTACAGCGAATTGTTATTAGATTTAGTCAAACTAAAATTCCTAGTGTAAACTTATGACCATTAAGCAAGCTTTCTAAAGAGGGAGACAGAAACCTTCTTCTCTCAAGACCCTATGCAGTAATTTTAATTAATTCATTTTAATAAACTGGTAACAAAAGAGAGTGGGTTGTGTTTTATTTCTGGTAGAATGCACTTTTACAGTGGATTCCTCCAAGTTACAGCACATTCTTAGCACATTCTTTAGTCTTGTACTATGTCCTGGGGCATTACTGGTGCAGAAAAGTCTGGTGTCCACAAGCACTGGGTAAGTAATTTTTAAAAGTTAGGCTGCATTCTCACAGCCCTACAGTCAGCAGGATAGAACACTGTACACCTGATGTACTAAACTGTTATCATTCAGAGAAGACCACATCTCATTTTCTGTAAGTCTTTGAAAAAAACGGTTAAAATCCATAATAATAATAACTAGCAATGCATTAGTTAATGTACCCATTGGATTAACTAGTGGTAGAAAACAAGGAACAATTATGGCAGAGCAGATTTTTATTTCTCTTTTATATCTGATCATTAAGACTAAACTAAAGTTTATACCAATGTTTAGTTACTACCTCAAAAGGACTAAGCAGTTGAAAGTATACATTACATATTTTCTGATAGAAAGCGATTCATATAACGTTCATTATTATCCCACACTATTACAGTTATTTTATAAACATGCAAATTAATTACACAATATTTTCAGACAATATTGGCTGATACCCAGTCATCTTATACTGGACACAATTAGCTTTCATGCAGGACATATATGCTACATTCAGCTGCCTATTGGGTAAGTAATAACACATGACACATACATATTTGTGCATGTCTGCCTACTGCATCTGTAGTATCTACAACAACCATGAATATCTGTAATAGTTCAAATACGATACTGCCCTGACACGTAAGTGCATGTATGTGTGTATGTATGCCTGTAGTATCGTACTTTAATGTTTGTTTGTCATTGACATTGCTTATGCTACCCTGCAGAATGCATGTAAATGTCCAACAAAATAAGGCAATTATAGTCAGTTTACTAGATATACTGTTAATATTTGTGCACAAATCACTGCAGACCTTTGGAATGTGAAAATATGCTATATAATAAAAGTGCACATTTTCTATATCATAACATCTGCAAAAAAAATAATAATTAGTGGAGAATTAAAAAACTTGCAAAACAGAGTCCGCAAATTACAATAATATACACCAAGAGTTAACTGACAGCTTAAAATGAACCTGTCACCTGTCTTAAAGTTTAACTACCAGAAAATAAAAAATCTACCTTTGCAATAAGGCTTGGGTTAGGGTACATGCTTGCGATTGTCTAGGGTACCCGTAAAAAGCACTTTTACTCACTTTATACATCACAACTGCAGACTCCTCTTTCCATACATCTGTTTCCCTCTTCTCTTTGGTGCTCCAACCAGCAGTCACAGTTTTGATGTCATAATGTATAATGCATGACCAATAGCCCTACATTTTAAGTAATGGTGCCAAGGTCCCATTCACAACCCAGAGTTTCAGAAAAAAGAGGTGAATGTCATTTGCTGGGGGAGGTAAAAGGTAGGCAAAAGTGCTTTTTATGGATACCCTAGGCAAAAACAAGCATTTAACACTTCCAAGGCGGAGAAGTCCCACTGCAAGGATAGATTTTTCATTTCAGTTCAGCATTAAGAGTATAAACTAGATGAGCTGTCACCAAAGTGTGCCTGAAAAGTACCATATCAATCCGCAAAATAGTTTTGGTGCACTGCTCTTGTACTCCAGAATGTGATTTCTTTGACTTAATACTGGGATGTGTGTTTTAATTCAATACCAAACTTTTAATGATCTGGCATTGGATTGGTAAATGGTGTGGAAATTAGGTGTGACACTAAGCAGAGTTTAGTATTGAGCTGAAGCAATTAAAGCCAGCATATTTTGATAATTATTGGAGCACCAAAACTAGAATAAGGATTGGTACACTCAACTCTTGGTGTCTGATTTTTAGCCAAATTGGTAATTTAAACAAATGATATAGACAATTGTCCCAGTTTAAACTGCAGAGAGATATGGTAACGACAACAGATATAAGCTGCAAGAAATCCCATTGTGCACCTTACTAGCATTTGGAAAGTTTTAGTGGTAAAACCTGTTTAAACACTTTATGAACAAGCCTGCATATACATATAAATGTATGTATATATATCTCATTGTAGACAATGGTTAATCAACAGAGGTATACAGTGCAGATATGTTCTATAGCAATTGATCTTTTTTTATTTTACTGAATCATCTGTAACGTCTCTAATCAGCTACCGAAATGTAACATTCACTTGCACTTTGATTTTTGTAATTATACCAGAAATACATTGTCAGTCAAGAGAATCTATAGAAACTTTAAACTGAGTTTTACCTGTACAGCTACCTTCCTTTTCTTCAAAGCCAGCACTACAAGTACATTTTCCAATTGGGACCAGCCACTCCCCCTCTGCACTGCAATGCATCCTGGGTGGATTATCCAAGTCTACTTCAGAGTTATTCACGCAAGTCCCCTAACTTCCACCAGTGTTGAAAAGGCTGCCTCTGCCACTGTGTCCGGAAATACTGCCAGGTTCTGCACTGTGGAGAGACACTTTTTATAATAGACACGTACAGAGACTATGGCAACACAGGCCCCAACGTCCTGAAATCCCAGGTGAAAACCTTTTTTGTTCAGGTGTCCAATCTCTCTGACTTCTGTATTCAGTTTCATTTTACGTTCTCCTAGATCCCCTTGAGTGAAGCTTTCGTCAGCTGCAATGGTGTCAATTTTTACGTACTTGCTTTCTTTGATGTTTTTCCCCAGATCATAATCAGATTCAATATAGTAAAGGTTAAAGGTTTCCTTGCATGTCCCCACAACTCCAGGAATACTGTTGCAGTCTCTCAGAGTGAATTTTATCTCAATAAAGATCCTTTGCCCATTCCGCCGCAGAATCCAGCCCGTTTGTAGCCAGTTGTTCTGATTAGGCTCCATGACATTGCACACTTGATAAGTACGAATGGGCTTGTAGTTCTCATCAACACCACTAATTTCCTCCCACTAAGAAAAAATAAATAAGAATAAGAAAATGCTTGCATGCAGATGGCTTGAATGGAGAAAAAAAACATTTAATAGAATGGGAACATCTGAGAATGTAATAGTTTATTACAGATTGCAGACTCAGACAGTGAAAACTGAATGTCTGTGGCATTCACTTACATTCACCAAGTTTTAAGTGTTTAAAATAAAAAAAAATCAGGAATGGGTATCTGTAAGAATCTAAATCTACCTTGTTCATTGTAATAATGCAAGACTCATCAAATGTGACGTTGATTTCCTTTTTGTCCCAGTGGGTTTCACCCACTAGACCTAAAACTCTTATTTAAAAATATTAAAACCAATTTGTATATTTTTAGGAAAGTTATAGATCCCATATTTTTAATGGCATGCCTGCACTAACTTGTTTATGAGTTTATATCCTTTTCTTATGCTTCCTTATACTTTATATAATCTATCTATAAATAATTCTTTTTTTTTTTTGTAGCATAATTTACCTTACTCCTTTGAAGGACAGGCCACTGTTTAATACAAATCTTCTCAATTTCCCTGCACTACTTGGTAAAATTAGTGATAAACAAGAAGGAGAAGTCTATTTATTCATTTGATGCTGCTCACCCCTTTGTGTTTCTTCCTTACCGTCTCCTATTTTATTATGTGATCTAATTGCTTTCTTTTATACTGTTACTGCTCCAACATCTTAATTGTCTTTTTCTTTATATCAATTCTGATCATGTTTTACAGAAAACAGGTTCTTGGTCCCATTTGATAAAAACATCATGTAGAAAGCTGTTTATAGTATGGAAAATCTCTCTCTTCTCTTTCTAATATAATAATGAGGAGCACTGATGGTATAACATTTCTAAAGAGGACAAAAGTTGATGGAAGGAGTTGCTGCAAAGCCCAAATTAGATGCTATTTGACCTTTTATTAATATAAATGTCAATAAAATCTAGTGAGTCAACCCATACAAGGTGGGCACAGAAAGAAATCACATGGAGAGTGTTATTGATTTTCAGCATGCTGTGGTGGATCTTCGTTGAAATTATAATGTGTTGCTATTGGTTACAGTGAATGGCTGTTTCCACTTATTCTGGTCAGCACTTACTGCACTGTTGAAATATTGACAGTCACAGAATCCAGACTGGCTTACTCATATTTCATGTGTGGTGAAGTTATTAAAACACACAGAAGGCAATAAGCCATGTTGGTTGCTATTAGTTACATATATTGTTAGTACATTTTATGATTCATTATCAGAATGGTTAAGGTTATCATGTACAAAAAATAGAAGACACATGATTATTTGGGAACATTGTATTTGTGACCTATTTATTTAAATGTATATTAATGTTTTACTGATTTTGCATTGTATTTTCCCATGGATTTATTTGTTTATGATTTGGTATTACCTAATATTTAGTAGCTCTGTGCCTCAGTAATACTTTTTCGTTTATATCTATTTACGATATAGCACAGCAGCTGTGGAACTTTTCGAATTTGAGTTAGGCTTTATTTTATTTATATAAATATTATTTACATTTCGTATTTATATGTTATATTTATATATACTACTACGCCAATTCAAGTCCACTCTACAACACATGTCTACACTATTGCAACAATACAAGTCCAGAGAAGCAGAAGAAAAATTCACATTACTTACTGGTTCTGTTTAAGAAAACCACAGATATAGTGATAATTTTTTCAGCAAAGCTCATGTTTAAATAGTGAGAAATCTATTTCACCTGTTGATCAATGCAGTTCTTTTTAAAGTTCTCAAATATAAAGCATAGAAAAGCGTATATATATATATATATATATATATATATATATATATAATATATATATATATATATATATATATATATAGGATAGAAGATTCATGAGGTTAACTCACTCTTCATTTTATGTTTCTCTTGCAAATTATTGAGTAGACAACTTGAACTTGAGGTGGCATAGAATACAGCCCTTCATTCACTACCTTACTACCTTGGTAAAAGCTCTGTAATCTCTCATAGACCTAAAATGAATCATTGGGTAGTAACCTGTCACACCTCTGACCTATAGCTACCATTGTTTGGGAGATTGGTGGAGGGAGAGTCAGTGGGCCATCTTGAGTATTCTAAACTATACAAGTGACTCCCTGACTATACAGGTTACTACCTGTTGTTGGGCAATGGGAAGCCTCCACTGGCTTCCCATTTCCCAATAAATAAAATTCAGAACAATAACAATAACATATAAAGCCATTTATAACTCTGCCCCATATTATATCACACCAATCCTGTCTCCAAATATCACTCAAACTGTCCTCTCTGCTCCTCCCAGAACCTCCTGCTCTCTAGCGCCCTTGTCTCCTCCTCCCATGCTTGTCTCCAGGACTTTTTCAGAACCCTCCCCCATCCTCTGGAACTCTCTACCCCAATCTATCCGACTATTGCCAACTCTGCCCATTTTAGGTGATCTCTGAAAACCTCTTTGGGGAAGCCTATCCTGACTTCAGCTAATAACCAAATTTTCTATTTCTCCTATCAGTTCATCCCCCACAGTTACTACCTTTTGTACCACCAGCCTCTCCCTCTTAGATTGTAAGCTCCAAGGAGCAGGGCCCTCCTAACCCTCTTGTATTGAACTGTATTGTTGCTGTATCGTCTCCCTTTTGTAAAGCGCTGAGCAAACTGTTGGCGCTATATAAACCCTGTATAATAACAATAATAGTATATTATATCTAATTTTAGCTTCATTTAGTTAAAAGTATAGACCTAATAATGTGGTGGTCATGTTACTTTAGATTGAAAATAAGATGGCATAAGCGAGAATTTTACTTTCACTGAGGTAAACATTCCATTAAAAGTAATGACCAGTCTGCTACATTTTGAGGGTAATAGTTGTGATCCTCATTTTTCCCGAGGGGACTGTTTTTTCCATAACTTTATTTTTGTCTAGAAAAGTTATATATATTTACAGCAGGAAAAAATACAAAATGGTGACTGTATATGTAAATGTCTGTGAAGGTTCTCATTTATCCAGGTAATGGTATACCTAGTAGTAATTGGTCACATCTTCAGTATTGCAAAGGGGGTTATTAACTAAAACTGAAGAGTCTAGTGCAACTTTGCATAGAAACCAATCAGCTTCCAGGTTTTATTGTCAAAGCTTAATTGAACAAGGTGAGGTTAGAATCTGATTGGCTACCATGCACAGCTGAACCAGATTCTGAGAGCACCAGTTTTAGTAAAACTACCCCAAAGTCATTACCACTAAGTAAACCAGCGCTAATTGTTTATCATGCTGTGAAGTTAGCAAAATGTAAGTCTTATATGCTAAAGTCAATATTCACTCCTAGTCTGGTCCATTATTGTGAGAGAGCTTTGCTGTATATCAGATAACAATTATGTGAACATATCTTATACTAAATGTACTAAATATGGTACTGAATCCAGACTATGAAACTATGATATGGCACATTGACAGTGTTAAAGACTCTGTGGTTTCTCCAATTTTTAATAGGAATTGATGAAGCCATGAAGCCTTTTTTTGTTCAACATTTACGCAGTGAAATCACATATTTGTGATTGTGTTGTGCCCTATTTTTCAAAGTAAATTACAAATGTTCTTTCTTAGTAGTTCCTGTTAGCTCTCTGTAATTTGCCTAGGTAGAATAGGAAACCAAAAATAACTACCTGGCATTACAAGCTATTTTGTAGGTCTACATTTTCTCTAAAGAAATACTGCATTATACTCGTGCTGATCGCATCCCTGTGCAGCTTCCCATAAAATGTTCTCTCTGGAAATACCACCTTCTGAACTTTATGTATACCCTGGAGGCATCTCAAAGTATTTGTCATAACCTTCTGTCTGTGAAGACTATAAAAAGAAGCTTATCTTGAGAAGAAGAGATTCTAGAGCAGTTTAGGTTCATCTGGGTTAATGGTGACAAGTACCAGCAGAGTTACATACATTAAATCAACTGAATGCAGCTAGTATATTTAACCCTACACATTATAGGGTATGTTTTAAATTGAAGGGGGTGAAGATTTGCACTTCCTTATATATCATATACCTTTAAATCAATTTTTGTTCATATTTATTTGACAAAGTCAAAATCATTTTATTATGACAAAGTTTCCTGACGTATGTATGGGATTTTCACTGTATATCTAGAAATTCAAGAAATTCTGAAAAAGAGTAAGGCAGTAGAGTTTTTTGCAGTACAGCTCCTTGTGTTAAGGATGCCTGTGTATTGTATCACACTGCTGCTTATTCTATTACTTGTATGGAGGACTTTACTTTTTTTTATTGTGGCTGTAGGCATCACCAAAATTCTACTTCTATTCCAAACACTAAACTATGCCCCTACGCTAAGTCCCTCTCTAGTATTGGTTCTACAATCATCTGTAATGCTGGATGCATCCTTGGACTGTTTCCTCAGTGCATCAAGGTGAGTGGTGAGAAATTTGTTTCATGCTGCCCATAGTTGCTGCATGAGACAAAATTCTCACCTTTCCTAATGGTAAAGATAGTCCTTCTTATAGCATACTTTGCATAAAATAGTGACAATACATAATGGAGTTGATTTACTAAAACTGGAGAGTACAAAATCTAGTACAGGTGTGCATGGTAACCAATCAGCTTCTGATTTCTGATTGTTCAATTAAACTTTGACAATAAAATCTGGAAGCTGACTTTCTTTGCAGAGCTGCACCAAATTTTGCACTGTCCAGTTTTAGTAAATCAACCCAATGTATAGTTGAGTCAAGAAGCATGCGTATAAATAAATTTGATTTTTAAACCAGTTTGTGGATAATTAGTTATGTGGTTAAAACGCGGTCTACATACCTTAAGGAATTGCAAAATATGAATTATTATTATATCAAATGTAATAATTAAATGTTTGCAAAGACTGATAATGAAACAATTGGTTGAATGCAACTATTTATGTAAGAGGACATATGCTATAATGAGTTGTCCATTGAAATCAGTGGCGCCGACACTAGATCTATCCTTGGTTTGCTCAGGTCACTAGTTAATGCTATATGATGATTATTAATTGTCTATAACCACATTAAGTTCAGCAAACCACCCATCAACATGTCAACCCATCAAATGCAACACTTACTCCATTAGATGGATGTGAAGTCCAGCCCAGCTCGGCCTGTGATTCTTTGGAATCCAGTAGGATAACTAAAATTAAAACAAAAAGGAGAAATTATGTCATGTTGTAAATCATTTCTCATTGCTACGACAATAACACAGCAATACGGCAACCAGCTATCTTCTTGTGCATCAAATTAAGTGTTTTAAAACATTTCCTGATTCCAGAATCTCATCCAGCGCAAATGCAGGTTTTTCCACTGACTGGAATTCATAATAGAATTATTGCACTTCTTGTCTTTACTCCAGCATTTTACTGGCAATGAAAAATATAGCACCCATTGCTTCAATCTACTACTGGATGGGAATTTTGAACTTGGATCAGTCTGTTGCCAATCACATTGCACACAAGAGCAGCCCTATTCCCTTATTCGTCACAAAGATTATTCATTGGCAAAGACTGAACATTTTTATAATATGATAATACAATAAAAATTGAAATATACACGTTTAAAAAAGTATAATATTATTTGAAACAATGCATGTCTTTAGCAATATATAGAGTGAGATGGTATCTGATTGGTATATGATTTAAAAGCCCAATTTCAGATTAAGCCTTAGTTTTTTATTCAGTGGTGAAGGAATGCAATCTTTGCCACCTTTTTAATGCTGTCTATGACTCCACTGAAAAAATATAATCTTTGATTCTTTACTTTGTGACACCGATATGATATTTAAACAAGAAACAAGGAATTTATACGATAAAATCTTTCATTCTTTTGCCCATCCTCCATTCACCGAGGGGCATAACACCAGAAGATTGCAGTCATAAGGGTCTCTGGGGGGCAGAGGACTGAAGATTTCAATAAACATAGCATTGTAAGTTCTGTCCCTGGTGCTGATTTTTTTTTTTTTTTAAAAAGCACCAAACACAGCTTTATGAATGAAAAGACTGCATCCTCCATTCACAAAAACTCTTTTCATTGCTTTGCCCATATTCTTATAATTTTCTGTAAACACATAAGCATTCTTATCTTCCTTGCATAAACTACTATTCCCATCAGCACTATGAAAATGAACAAAGGCAGACACAATCAAATGCAAAAAAGGTAAAGTACAATTCCAGCAGAAACCTAACTAGTCTTTAAAAAATGCTCCCTCCCAACACTTATGCTGAATAATCTGTGTAAAAAAGATGTATGTACTTACCTATTTTCAGCTTGCACCGGTCTGCTCACATAGGTTTCCTGTATCAGTCAGCAGGACCTGCAGGGGAATTCAGAAAGTGCCCGACAACTGGGAGAGACGGGAGCGGTGACATCGCCCATAACCTCCCATGTCCCAGCTGTTGTCAGCAGGCCCTCCTCCTCTCTGCAGCAGCCTTTGGCTGACACAGGTGAGCAAGGTCATGTGATCAGACCAGAGCGGGCTGAAAATAGGTAAGTATATACATCTTTTTTTTTTTTACAGATTATAGACATTTATTGCTATTCGGCTGTGTGCTATTTCAACTGGTAGTTGTGCAGTAATGCAATGCTGTACCCAAACAAAATTAATATCCTTTTTTCATGCAAATACAGCTTTTTTTTGCTGGTATTTGATCACCACTGTTTGTTTTTTTTACACAAAGCTGTCACTTGATGATATATTTCTCACACATTTCATGGGCATATGTGGAATAACACACCAAAACACATTCTGATACTTCTCCTGAGTATGGGGTGCCACATGTAAGAGACTATTTTTACAGCCTAGCCACATTCAGGCCCCCAAAATCCAATGACCACCTTCAGGCATTCAAAGGGCATATTTCCCATGTCACTTCCTCACTACTTATCACAGTTTAGGAGGCCCTTAAATAGTAAAAGCACCCCCCCCCCAAATGACCCTTTTTGGAAAGTAGACACCCTAAGGAATTTGATAAGAGGCATGGTGAGTAGTTTGCAGATACCATTCTTTGTCACAAGGTTTTAAAAAAAAGAAAAAAAAGTAAAAAATACATTTTCATTTTCTTCATTTTCCAAAAACTGGTGGCAACAAATGAAATCTGAAAAATACTCACCATGCCCCTTAGCAAATACCTTGGAATGTTTACTTTCCAATGAATTCTAATCTACAGTATTTTAGGATTGTGCTATAGTATTTTAGGTTTTTTTTATTTGCAGCAGCAGTGGAATTGTTTTTTTTTTTTTTGTGGTTGCACATTTTACTCTGCAGATTGTACTGTCACTTTATCCAGCGCGCAGAGTAGGGCACATCTAATATCTACATTGACTAGCTAACTTCAAGCAGACTGGTGTCAATGAAATGCTATTGTTGTCCAGTGAAATACAAGGATAGCAGTGCATCCAAACCCAAAAATCAGGTAGGAGAAAAATCTATCCACACTGTATACCTCTACAATAAATAAACATCATTTCTATAAACTGTGAAGAGATACTCAAAATCTGAGTTATAGAAATGGAGCTAAGGCTTACAGTTTGCCATCTCAGTTTTGAAGTTATTTCCTTAATCTAAGGTTAGGGCCACAGATGTTAAGTGTGTTAAAGATGAAGAACAGATTTGCTACAACTGCTGATTTGACGTATGCCTATTAAATTGAAGTTCCACAACTGTTCCATTAGGGTGAAAACTAAAGAAAATGTTTGATAGTCATTGTAAGTATTAAGTCATTTTTTTCAGTTTCCAAATCCACACTCATGGATCCCATATTAACCTCCCCCCCCCACACACACACGCTGTAGTTACTTTTTCAAGGAAAGGACATGAAAGAATAAAAATCTGAAGGAACATTCTTTTGCAGATAGTTGTACTATGGTGATTGCAGCACTATGAATAGAATGCGTGTTATCTAACAGAGAAATTATTAGCCATAAAATATTCTAAACACTGCTTTCAAGATTGCAAGCTATTTTGCACCTCAGTGCTTGCAAATGACACCTCACTGAACATACTGTTCAGAATTCATATTATTCCTACTGCAAATATAATACAAAAAAATGAAATAAATAAATAAAGAATATACAACATCTCCTTTTATTGCGCTAATGAGATATGGATTGTTTGCTTAGCTGCCGTCTTGCTATGCCTCATCTTGACAGAAGAACCATGTAAGTTCTAAGTAAGCAATAAAGCAGGAGGGATGCTCCCTGTGTGCACAGGATGGTTTCAGTCAATGCATCTGTAGGAGAAAAAGCCTTTCAAAGGATACACAATTTCATCCATTATTAAGATCAGACTCAGTGTCTTCTAAAAAAAGACTAATAAGAGGCGAGTACAGTATCACATAAAATCTATAAGTCTAGCCCAGGGTCTGCCTTGACTTTAAGAGCTTGGCTTCTAGTCAATATAAACAAGATATATTTTCCTCCTTTTAAACATGCTATATGCATTACAAAGATGTACCATGTTTGGATTAGTACCAGTTTGAGTGTGTGGAATGTGTTTTATGGCTTTTGAACATTGGAACAGTTAGCTTAGGTGCAGGAGTATCAAAGCTACAGTTGTGGTGTTACATTGTCTGTGGATACATGACACTGATGCTCTTACTATATTATTATTATTATACAGGATTTATAAAGCGCCAATAGTTCGCTCAGTGCTGTACATTAAAAAGGGGGACAGAACATGTGACAACAATACCAATACAATGCAAAACATGAGGGGATTGAGGGCCCTGCTCTTTCGAACTTACAATCTAGGCAGTCTCTGATGGGGGTGCTGCTTTTGATTGAGTACTGCGTTGAAGGAGTGCGAAGCAGTTAAACACAGCAGTCTAATTATGCCTTCTCTACTTTCACAGGTAAATGCACCTATCTCCTATCTCCGCCTCTTAACTAGAAAAACGCATTGACTCCTGCTGCTTTTCTCTGGGTAAATGCACCTATCTCCTATCTCCGCTCTTAACTAGAAAAACGCATTGACTCCTGCTGCTTTTCTCTGGGTAAATGCACCTATCTCCTATCTCCGCTCTTAACTAGAAAAACGCATTGACTCCTGCTGCTTTTCTCTGGGTAAATGCACCTATCTCCTATCTCTGCTCTTAACTAGAAAAACGCATTGACGCAGCCCCCATCATGCACACAAAACTCACCTGAACAGTTAATGTATCACAATCCAAAAAAAACCCTGAACCTTACAAATTAGTTAACCAAGTAAAAACGTCAGACTAACTTTACCCTCAATATCTCTTTTAAACCTAACTAATAAACTAAAGCTAAACTACTTGACCTCTGGAAGATTTACCCCCCTTCCTGACCAGGCCATTTTATGCGATATGGCACTGCATTATTTTGACTGACAATTGTGCGGTCATGCAATGCGGTATATAAAAAAATAAGAAATGTATGTAATTTTTTCCCCACAAATATAGCTTTCTTTTGGTGCTATTTGATCACCTCCGGGTTTTTTAATTTATATGATAATCACAGAAAAGACTGAGAAAATTTGAAAAAATAAATAAATTGTACTTTCTTCTATAAAACATACCCAATAAAAAAATTAAAAAAATCAAATTGCTTCATAAATTTAGGCCAATATGTAATCTGCTACATATTTTTGTGTAAAAAAAATTCCCAATAATCGCATATTGATTGGTTTGAGAAAAAATTATTGCATCTACAAACTATGGTATATATACTGAAATTTTTATTTTATTTTTTTTACTAGTAATGGCAGCAATTAGTGACTTATAGTGTGACTGCGATATTGTAGTGGACCATCGGACAATAATTGACACTAACTGGCACTTTGTGGGAACCAGTGACACTAACACAGTGATCAGTGCCAAAAATATACACTGACACTGTACTAATGACACTGGCTGGGAAGTAGTTAAACATCTAGGGTGATCAAGGGGTTAGCTGTGTACCTAGCTATGTGTAATGTTTACTGTGTGTGCTGTTTTCACTAGGTAATGTGCTAGATTCTCCAGCACATTGCCACTGACAGAACACAGCTCTGCCTTGTTTACATAGGCAAAGCTGTGTTCTGTCAGTCTCTTAGACGATCGGCGGGTGCCAGGCTCATTCATTGGCCGGCACCCACTGATAGGCTTCTGCTGTGACCAATCAAAGCAGAAGCGGCAAGCCA